AAAATATGTATTAAGATTATTGGGGTCCGTACCATATCAGCGCCCAGGGCGAGAGCCTTGAATATGTCGGAGCCCTGGGTAAAGCCGCCGTCCACGTAAACTTCGCAGCGCCCATTTACTGCCGCAGTTATTTCAGCAAGAGCCTCGATCTATTTGAGTAAAAAAAAACAAATTACGATTCCATCAGAACGAGGTGATTTATTTGGAGCGAGTCTATAGGAGAGGTTTCGGGACCCACTGAGGCAGGGGTGCCGTCCAGCTGGCGGGCGCCGTGGTTGGACACGAAGATGGCGGCCGCGCCGTGCTCCACGCCCATGAGCGCGTCCTCCTTGGTCAGCACCCCCTTGATGACGATGGGCAGGGAGGTGAAGCTGCAACACGAGTCCAGCACTTCAGTGCTTTATTCCGCTTGACGACGCGATCCGCACCCGCCCCCCCCCCCCTTCCCCACCTTTTCTTTCATTCTCCCCTCTCCTCTCGTACCTCTTCAGCCACGCGACGTCACTCCAGCTGAGCGAGGGGTCGAACAGCTTGGCGACGTACTCGTTGAGGCCCGAGCCCGACTCGGCCGTGGACACCCCCTTGGACTTGTGCTCGTCCTGGCAGTCGGTGAAGTTGGCGAGGCGCAGGTGCGAGGGCAGGGTGAACTTGTGGCGCACGTCCGCGCGCCGGAAGCCGAACACGGGCGCGTCCACCGTGAGCACGAGGGCCTTGTAGCCCGCCCGCTCCGCGCGCCGCACGAGCTGCTCCGTCACCTTCCTGTGCCGTGCCGGATAGCAATACGAGACGTTCAATGCTCTGGTCGTGTCGACGCCGGCCAGCACGTCGACGGTCGCCCGCTCCGCTCACCTCTCCTTGTAGATGTACAGCTGGAACCAGCGGGTGCACTCCGGGGCCGCCTCGGCCACCTCCTCGATACTGGACGTCGCGAGCGTGCTGAGGATGTATACGCCGCCCAGCTTACTCACGGCTGGTGACAGCAGGGGCAGAAAGGAAGGCAAGTTATTACTGATGTTTCACCTTCTTGTTCTTTTTTGAAAATTTCTTAAAAGTATTTTGAAAGTTGTTGTTCCTCTTTGGGAAGTTTTTTTATTAAGTTTTTTT